AAAAAAAAAAAAAAAAAAAAAAAAAAAAAAAACCTGATAGGTATATATCTTATTGACAAGCTATCAAATTTTTTTCAAGTGCCTATGCAACAATCCCAAAACAAAACAAAAAACAAACAAAAAAATACCCGTAATAATCTCTCTAAAAGTAAATTTCTCCAGTGCTGCAATCCTAATCTTATTAAAAGTAAAGTTTTTTATTTTTGTTTTTGTTTTCAAGACAGGGTCTCACTGTCATCTAGGCTGGATGTAGTGGCAATGTCGTGGCTCACTGCAGCCTTGACAGGCTCAAGCAGTCCTCTAATCTCAGCCTCCCAAGTAGCAGGGATCACTGGCGCACTGCCACCACACTCAGTTAATTTTGGTTTTAGTTGTAGAGACAGGGTCTCACTATGTTGTGCAGGCTGGTCTCAAACTCATGGGCTCAAGCAATCCTCCCGCCTCAGTCTCCCAACGCACTGGAATTATAAGCGTGAGCCACCACACCTGGCCAAAAGTAAAGTTAAAAAATGAAAATCTTAAAACCTAGAAGTAAAAATGTGGTAAATGGTAATTAAAGATTTGGTGGGGTAATGTTCTAGAAATTCATCCTTTTCAGCCAGGCGCGGTGGCTCACATCTGTAATCCCAGCACTTTGGGAGGCCTAGGCAGGTGGATCACAAGGTCGAAGTCGAGACCATCCTGGCCAACATGGTGAAACCCCATCTCTACTAAAAAAAAATTACAAAAAACAAACCTGGCGCAGTGGCTCACGCCTGTAATCCCAGCACTTTGGGAGGCCAAGGTGGGTGGATCTCGAGGTCAGCAGATCGAGACCATCCTGGATAACACAGTGAAACCCCGTCTCTACTAAAAATACAAAAAATTAGCCAAGTGCAGTGGTGGGCGCCTGTAGTCCCAGCTACTTGGGTGGCTGAGGCAGGAGAATGGCGTGAACCTAGGAGGCAGAACTTGCAGTGAGCTAAGATCCTGCCACTGAACTCCAGCCTCGGCGACAGAGCGAGACTGTCTCAAAAAAAAAAAGTAGCTGGGCATGGTGGTGCGCGCCTTTGGCCCCAGCTACTCGGGAGGCTGAGGCAGGAGAACTGCTTGAACCCAGGAGGCGGAGGTTGCAGTGAGCCAAGATCGCCTCACTGCACTCTAGCCTGACTACAGAGCAAGACTACCTCTCAAAAAAAAAAAAAAAGAAAAAAGAAATTCATCTTTTTCATTTAGATTTTTTTATTCATTTGCATGAGATAAATTGTTTTTCTAAATTATTTTAGTACAGTTTTGCTATATACCAGAGTTTCTGATATATAGATAGCACTTTTATTGTTTTTGAGATATTTTACAATTTTAGTTCTGACTTTGACTTTGGAGTGGGTTGCTGAGAAAATAGCAGTTGTTTCACTAGTCCCAGTAAAAACCTACTAGGCTACTGTTTTCTTCTACTCTTCAATGCAGTTAGTTAACATATTTGACTTCTGAATCTATCTTCATAATTTCCAGTTCTTTCAGGCATCAAGGTTAACACTGTAAACAAAATAAAACAAAAACCAAAAGCAAGGTTGAGAATAATTTTAGATATTATTCTTTACCCAAAACTTCGGCATAATAACCAACTGTAAAAACGCATGACCTTTCCATTATTTTTTACTGTGTTGGAAATGCTGAATCAACATTTTAATTTCTTCAAGGACTTTGAACCATTTATTCCTACCAATTATATCTATTTTTTGTAAACTTTTATCCTTTTGTTTATACTTTCATATTTTTGGCATGACTTTATATAATATTCATGTATGATTGTCTGAAACTTAGATATGGAAGTAACTGTTTCTCCTGTTTTGTTACATTCTTTTTTTTTTTTTTAGTCTAACTCTGTCTTCCAGGCTGGAATGCAGTGGTAGATCTCGGCTCACTACAACCTCCGCCTCCCAGATTCAAGTGATTCTCCTGCCTCAGCCTCCCAAGTACCTGGGATTACAGACCTGCACTGCGGTACCCCGCTAATTTTTATATTTTTAGTAGAGATGGGGTTTCGCCATGTTGGCTAGGCTGGTCTCGAACTCTTGGCCTCAAGAGATCCACCCACCTCAGCCTCCCAAAGTGTGAGCCACCATGCTGGCCCAGTCTTTTTTTTTTTTTGAGACGGAGTCTCGCTCTTGCTGTGTCACCCAGGTTGGAGTGCAGGGGA